TCCATGGTATCCGTGTTATTAGTTGTATGTGGATTATATTAGGTCATACTTATCAATATACAGGACGTTATGGACCAGGTTAGTTAAAGAGCGGTAGTCGTCGCGCCGCGCATGTGTGACATTTGTGTTGATAAACTTTGATTTTCCCACAATCTAATGCGCCATTATAATAGAAATCACAAGTATGAGGTATGACCTGGCGCGACTGGCACTAATTACCGCCGGTGACTCCTTCGATATTTTCAAATAACCTAAAAAATACCTAATTAAAGCTTGATAACATCTCAATTCGTACTCGTTGATATGCGCAACACTCGGCAACAGTCAAAGTCGCCATTTTTGTTTATATGAGACCCATATATCTCGCGCATGCGTGGCGCGACGACTACCGCATTTTAAGATTAATAATATTCCTTTTATTAGTTTTATATGATTATATTACATCATGTGTACCAACATACAAGACGTTTAGGACCAAGTTAGTAATGCCTAATCATTTTCATCCCATTTGTTGTATATTCACTTTTCTGTGTCATACGTACCAACATGATTATGATAGAGTTGCGTTCAATCATAATATTCGTGTTTTTGTTATAAAATAAACAGCACGTCATAAATATTGAACCAACCTTGATCAATTACATCATAAACTTGTCAAGAACGAGGCAAGACTCTTAAAATATTACAGGGAGAAATATTCAACAGTGTTGCTATAACAAGATTTTGACACACTGCTTTCGGACCGCAGGTGTGATATCTCAGAAAACAGTATACCCAGTCACTTGAGACTAGTTACTGTTGATTGTTGAATCTTATTTCTAGGGAAGCAATCACGTTTGACGCCGCAATGCAACACTGGGGGTTAGTGTATACACAGACGTGAGTGGAAAAGCTGCATTTTTATTAGGAGATCAATCAGAATTAAAGAGAATTTTTTAATCACATGTTCAAGTCATTAGTCTCGTGTACATACACTATACAGACACACACTAGCCGCCATTGTGTGATCGTAATATGCAAGATTGGGAATATACACACATTATTTTAGCGAACAGTTACGTCTGAGTGATTAATGACAGCAACATCATATACTGTAAAATGACTAATTTTCACTGGGTTTAAATTTCACTGATTTACCATTTCAGGCATATTCAGTGGGTTTTAAATTCACGGTTTTATCGTTTAGATAATGTGTTCTGTGCTCAATTTTACATATTCACTGGGTTTTAATTTAGCGCATTTTCCAGTCAGCAAAATAGCAGAATTAAAACCCAGTAAATAATTAAGCCTATATATAGAGTTAGAGTATGCCTGTTCTAGGGCCTGACATAAGTTTATACTTGTTATGGGGCCTGACGTCAATGGGTATTCTGATTCTGGGGCTAAGCAGTAGTGGGTTTAGTGGGTCTGACTATTCTGCTAAGACTTAACATTTTACTTTTACGTATAATAGTCGATTGAAATACGTAAAATTCCTCGGACGGCATTAAATCGTTTATACGTAACAAGGACGAGAAGAAATTCAGGACAAGAAAACTAATACAAAACAAACTACAAACAAAAGACACTGGCTAGTCTAAAAAAAGGGGTTAACCACAAATACATTTTGTAACAATAACGAAAGTTGTGGGGGGAGGGTGGAACTCAAATTTCTAGGTGTTGCTGTAACATATTAATTTTAGTGAATTTATATAATTAGCCAAAGAAACGAGTAAACCAGTGGTATTGTTTTTTCATTATCATTATAAATTTTAATTGATTGTTTAATTAGCAAAGTCTGTGATGCGTTTCTTTGCTTCGTTAAAAAAAAAGTTTTTGTTTTTGGTACAGAAGACATAATATCATAAAAAGCTGTTCATCTTCGTGGATATGCATGGTATAGGGCCTAACATACATACAAGTAGTGTGTCTGTTCCAGGGCCTAACAAACAGTGGGTATGCATGTTCTTGAGATTACCATACAGTGAATATGCCTGTTCGAGGGCTTAACGTACAATGAATATGCCAATTCTCGGGCCTAGCGCATAGAGGGTATGCACTTCTCGGGCGGTGAAACTGCCTACTGCCAATTCTAACAATATAATGCTATCGTATTTCCTCCGTAGACAATCCCAACTATATCTTGGATGTAGTTCTAAACAGATTATCCGCACAGATATATCTCAATGGTTATCTAGCTGTTGATACGTTCTTCGTTATTGGGTAAGTAACAGTCACAGGGGCTTGTCAACTGACGGCAAATCACCTAGTGCGAGCACGAAGGGGATTCACCGTCAGATTACAAGCCCCTGTGGTAACAACATTCATATTGAATTCATTCCTATCGTAATGTTAGAATGGTGATAATTAATTAATTAATTAATTTATTTATTTATTTATTTATTTATTTATGTATTTACTCTTTCAGAGGCATGTTAGTAACATATATAACCCTGAAACATTTAGACAGAAATGACGGCAAACTAAATTGGCTGCTGTTCCTGTTTCATCGTGTATGGAGATTGACGCCAGTCTATATGTTTGTATTAATGTTATGGTCAACACTGGTCATACATACGGGTATTGGTCCTAGATGGCATCAACTGGAGTATGGTATTACAGCGTGTCAGCAATACTGGTGGACGAATTTGCTTTATATCAACAATTTCCTCCACTATCTAAGTCAGGTAATGTATTTGTAATGGATCACTATTAGTTTTTGACGAAAAATTCCACCGAGATCTCGCTGGGGCGAGAATGTCACGATTTTTTGGAACTCTTTGTTTTTTCACTTTAAACGCTACAGTCATGGTCACCGTGCAGCGGGTTCGAGTTTCAAACAATTTACCTCACACGGTTTGTATACGTCGCATGGGACTCACATCTACCACGACGCGTTGTGACGACTGTGGCGCTTCAAAGCACATACTGGAATTCAAGTTCATATACTGGATATTAAAAATTGCCAGTTACTATCTACACAGAAAGATATATTGTGTACGGATTTCTATCAGCGTGACGAAATATACAAGTGAGGTGTGAACCACGGTGAGGTACTTGCCCGGGCACTTAGTATATTTTCCTTAGTGTGATTAGTGCGGCATTCGACGCGTCGAAATGTGATCGGCAGTCGTGATCGGCAAAGCGACCAAGGATATAGCAAGATAAAGTGCCTGTCTAAAATCTACATTGAAATGTACAGTAGTCGCTAATCTGCAACATACACGTTGTTTGAAATTATTTTAAAGGGCGGTAGTCGTCGTGTCGCGTCCTGTTCGATATGAGACTCACCCGGCGGTGGCATGTGGTATATGGGTACCCATGCTTGTTCCCCATTTTCAAAAAATGCCCGTTGTCTCTGATAATTTCTCATAAAACACCTCCTAGGAGTCATAAAAAATAACTTTTCTTATCCTTCTGAACCGTGCCGTAATTCACCATCACCCTCCCGATTACGAAGTTCACGCTGTTTAATATACCGTGGCATTCTTCTTAGTACGTACGCATTGCGTTGCCGGGGATCGTTGAACGCCACATTTTCCCCCATTATTTTTTTAAAAGTACCCCGAGTCCTTTTCACGATTTCACGGACCGTGGTATTCAACAAAAATAACCCCCTTTCTCCGACAATATAGGAACGCGGATGCGTACCATTTTTTTCTGGAAGTGCCACCACCGGGGAGACTCATAGCGGTGTATACAACGCGTGTAAAGTACATTGTTTATTTACATGAAATTCGAACACGCGCTGCGTGACGACCACCGCGCTTTAACGTTTTAACCATATTCCATACTTGTGTTATTTACAGTGCATGCCGTGGACATGGTACTTAGCCTTAGACATGCAGTTCCATATTGTTGCACCACTATTTCTGATAACGCTACATAAGTAAGTACCGAATAAGGCCGGGGGGTGTCCGGGACGAGTGGGCTCAGGTCATGCATGATAATCGTTTTCCAAAGTAACGATTTAAAATTGTTAGACGTTTCAGGAAATGACGATTAGGCGCAGTTTGCGTCGATTTCAGTTGTACACAGGACAAGTAAACACATTTTTTTTTGGTTCAGTATACTGTAAAACATGTTGAAAAATGACGTAATGATGAAATGTTGACTTAGCGAATCTCTCTCGTCTTTGTTGATTTCCTGTTTTCACAATACTTGTCTGTTACCTGCTAAAACAAATGCACAGTTATCACTTCCATAAAAACAAAGAAAAACTGTCAGATTATTACGTTTTTCGTGTTGTTTACAAAGTGTGTGTGTGGAGAAAAAGACGTTGTTTGGCCGCCATTTTGAATTTATAATAAAATTAGCGACATCTTAAATTAGCTAATTAGTTCTCTTGCTAAATTAGCTAAAACAAATGTTTCACAGTACTTGATTTACGCCGCAACATGTAATTGGTAAAATATAACTTTGCTTTTGCTGCAAAATATAGCGGTATTCGTTTGATAAAATAAAACGCGAATGAGCACGCGCCAAGATTCATTCACACGTACAGGTAATTTGAAGCTCGTGTGTGATAGGTTTCATTATTATATCGAACGAGTATTTCTAATGTTGTCAAAATGACCTTTTTATTTTATGATAAATCACATTTTGTTATCAAGATTAATGCAAAAAATGATGAAAACTACTCAAAGTTATCCACGTTGCCTGATTAATGACTCAGTATATGACATTAATGAGAAAGTATTGTTGTCACTCGTTTTATCCCTTTCCGATGATTACTGTAATATTGTATATATAATGGTGTAAGTTAATGCGTTTGTTTTCAGACGTTGGAAGTGGGGAATCGGTATCCTAGCTAGTTTCTGTTTGATTTCCATTATCACTACTGCTACAATAAGTTCTATTATTGGACACAGTGCAGATCTCATGACCACGTGAGTATGTATATCTAGGAACCACCACTGTTTTTCTTGTTTTACTGAAATTTGATACAATTTTCAGTTAAAAAAATATAATATGGACTGCATATTGAAGACCAAAATGAATTATGATAAGTCGTGTATTATAAATTTGAAAACAGCTATACGCATGCGTGGCAATTTTTTGTTGTACAGTGAAGGGCATGAAGCTGGGGATGTTATAAATGTTTTATAAAATAATATAATTTTTTATAAATCAAAATGACTGATATAATTCAAATTAACCAATCCAGAAACATTATGGCGACATCATCGCGAGTTCTAATTAATATTAATGAGCTAGTTCAACATCATCCAATCAGCTAACCTTTCATTTTTATATAAGTGGGTGGTCGCAGTTGCTATGTCACATGAAAGCTTGCGCGCGCGGCACTTATATGTGGTACTTTTCATCCCACACCGGGACAATATTAGCCGGCAATCAGGTTCTTCCATTGCTGTCTATCCTTGGCCACCATCTCTGCACAACTCCAGGCCAGGTTCGCATGGGTGACATAGGCGTAGAAAATGCGGATCTCTTGATCTAAAAATTATTAAATATTTGAATTTGAATGAAAGCTGATGGTCGGTATTTACGAATTGTCACAGATATGTTCATAAAATAAAGTACAGTTTTCTGATTTTCACTGTATTACATTATCAGCGTACCCGTATGTTGGAACAAATACTTAATTGCGTGCAGCAAGAAGGCCATTTTATGTTCACGATAAATCACAATCAATAATCAATATACAGTACCAGCAACAAAATTAATAATTATATGTTCTTATCCACATTACATCTTTGGTCATTGATCTGAGCGCTCTGCAATGTCGATTTCGCACAAATATCTCAATGTTTCGCACAGTTCCATATAATACTTTATTATTAAATTAATTAAAATAGTTTAATTAAATTCATTGGCGGCGGCACCTGGGGGTCGCCCTCTCGAAATATGTTGGGGCGTCGCCCCTCCAAAATCAAGCTGAAACCCTGTGTGTCAGCAAAATTTAACCCTCAAAATGCAGAAAATAGCGTTTCAGAGGGTCTAGATTTCAACATTTTTAAATGGGGAGCATGCCCCCATTAAAAGTAAGGTCAGTCCTACGGCACAAGCTTGGTGAGCAGATCTCGCCCCTCCATGCACAATTTCGTGCCGCCATCTTTGAAATTAACAATAATTTAATGACACTGTGTATACGCATGTGGCTTACTTTTCAGACCTTACAATAACAAAGTAATATACAATCCAATTGGTGGATGGCTCTACGACAAACCGTATTATCGCATACAAGCTTATGTTGTTGGAATTGTGCTGGGATTTATCCTCTATAAAACCAAGAATAAAAACATTGAAATAAATAAGGTAATACATAATACATAGATGTGTTTCTAAACTTGATGTATGTCTCACTGGTTGCTATTTTAGTCCACAAAGCAACATTTGAATATGTAATCAACCATTTCCTATGCATTTTCTTCAATGCTATCGATAAAGAGCCATTGCTCGAAACGTCTAGCCCTTGAATAATTACTTAGGACAACGATTACCGAATATTATCTACTATATATCATTTCCTAGGCATGTCTTGGTTGATTTCATTATTACTTCATTTCAATACACATGGTGATTTTGATGCACGTCAATTTTCTTTGTGATTTGATTCAAAATGACTGACTGGTAGCCATGTTGGATTTACCGTTACTTAAACATACTTCGGTCGATTTTAAAGAAAGTTGTCTTTACTCATGTGAATAGCATGTTATCATGCCGGTATCTACATTTTTCATTGTTTTTAATTCGCACAGTCATTATAAACATTTTTAATGAATAGTCCCAGGCAGTAATTACGACGGAAGATAATCTGTGGCACCTGAATGCACAAGGAAAAAAGTATTTTTACTACAATCTAAGCTTAGTTGAAAATAATTTATTATTATTATTATTATTATTATTATCCGATTTGGTAACTTCTTTTTTATGCTACTGTATATTTTCAAGTCTCCATGTACGACACCATTGGTCGACTGTGATTTCTCTATTGACTGTGATTCCATGTCGATTTCACGAATTTTGTATTGCGTTGTATACCGACGATTCATTATCTTAAAGTGAAAAGTGTTTCAATTAAAGGGCGTTCTTATTTCATGTAAACAAAGTGATGTGTTTTACACGCGTTGTTTACGTCGCTATGAGTCCCGACTAGAATACGGCGCGGCCCGACGACCACCGCCCTTTAAGCATATCTACAAATGTAAATACTAGAATTCAACAACCCTAACTGCGGCCGTTTTATTTCAGTATGTTAACGTAGTACTTTGGATGGCGTCAGTAGCCGCAGGTCTAATCATAGTACTGGGTCTCTATTCTACAACACAGGGCCATCTATTGCCACAAGCAGTGGCAGTGTTATACGTTACATTTAGTAAACTCGTTTACGGCTCAGCAGTGGCGTGGGTCATATTTGCCTGTCATAAGGGATATGGAGGTAAGAACAGTGTAATAGGTACTTGTCGGTGGGGAAAAACAGTGCACGAGCAAACTTACAGAAATGTATACATTACACATTTCCGATTCCGAGTCATAATGAAGTACCATTTTAAATGAAGTAAGCAATTCAACTCTCGAATTGTATAACCGTTCTTAGTCACAGATCAAAACAATATTGATGTTGTATAAAACGTCCATTACATTAAAGCGGAGGGGTCGTCACCTGCGCACGCGTGGGAATTGATTCCCAAGAGACCATAACAATGCACGCTAAAAACTAAAAGGCCCATAGGTAGACGCGTGTTTGTAAACGACACGCTATGGCCGTCTGCCGCATGCGCAGGTGACGACTCTCCCGCTTTAATATTACGTCATATAAGCGCTTCAACGCAAGAGGGCATCGCCTGTATGAATAGCGTATGTATCCATGAGTTTGTTTACATATATCGAATTTCTGTTAGATGGAAAATATGTTAGTTACCTGCTTACCAACCTTAGTTCCTTTATGGTAGTGATATTTACAGATTCTCTCTACTGGTACAATCCAAGGTCGTAAATTTATCTAAACTTGCAAAAGTTGATGCTCCACGACACGTTTATCCTTTTTAATGGTGTGAACGTCGAGATTCTCTTGAGGTCACCTATCAATCTTATTGTTATTTCGTGTCATTAAAAACTCTAACCTGTCGTTGTATTTTAATATAATATGAACTAAGTGTGAATCAAGTTGGCTAATGTCTCAACGGCATAGTGTTAGGCGCCCTCTGGTTTCATTGTAGAAGTGGAAATCGGTGAATATATAGCGCGAAACATGCAAACCAAATCATACATTCTATTGTAAGCTGATGCGCAAGGCAATAACTCACTTAATATTTTTTACCCCATAAGGTCCGATTAACCAAGTGTTGTCATGGAAACTGTGGATACCATTATCTCGTCTCACTTACTGTGTCTATTTAATCCATCCTGTTATGATATCAACGCATAACGCTAAACGAGAAGTATTGATGCATTACACAGACGAAGAGATGGTATGTACGGTAGTCAGCAAGGGTTGAACCATTTGAATCCGGGGAGGGTGCTTGAAAAATGTAATGTCGGTAAATTCTCGTTTTCACTTAGAATGACGCAGTTTTTCAAAGAACTGATTTCATACAAATCAGTTGAGGGTAGGATTTCCTCGGGTAAATCAGTTAAACATCCCACCCTTAATCGTTCTTTAGTTTTATAATTTGCCGTGATGTGATTTAGCTTTTTTATTAGCATCATAAATGTCAGTCTACGAGTATTTTGAAGCGATGTCGGCACCTCTGTGACGTCACAATGACGTGGTGGGTGAAATATATGTCGTTCAAAGAGACAATCATTATGTCATTGAGAAATAAGGATAAAATGACAGACGATAATATATCTAAAGAATGGCGACGATATGTGCGACCTTCACTTCAACCATAGAACACTTTCCTGGAAGTGGCGAGACTGGATAATCTGATGTATTGTACGGCGTGTATATTTTATTTTATATACTTATTTTACTTTTACAATTTTCCTTAATTATTTTAATTGTTTTTTTTAATGTATTTTGTTACGTACTTGTGATTCAGTATTTTCTTAACTATCGCCTTGCGGGCTTTTGCGATTACCAAAACTGCCAGCAAATAAATAATAAATTAAAATAAAGTAAAAGAAAATATATAATCAAAATAAATAAACACAAATTAAAGATGAAAAGAAGTCCAAACTGGGATATTATGTTATTCAGATTGCGAGACTGGGGTGCAAAACTACGCCTGCTTTGCCATGGAGGAAAATACAAACATCTCAGTTTGCTGATAGTCGATAGAAGAGAATTTTATTTTTGTGACGTTAAAATTGGTACACCCGGAAGCCCAATATCACGTGTGCAAGTTACCCCAAAACGGTATGCGCGTGCATGCAAAACGCCGTATCTTCAACTTCTGGGAAAGTTGTCTATGTACGTCTGAAAGCGTTTTCTTACTAGAGGGCGTGATGATTGAAACACTCCACTCTTTTGCTTCTTCTTGCTCGCAATTTCCCTTTGATGTTCAAATGTCGTTCCTCCACTGATATTATGCATTTTGTCTCCATGGTTACAGATATATTTCTATATTGGCGTTGTGTCATTATCCTATATGGCGGCCATTGCCTTATCGCTTTGTATTGAGTTACCGTTGGCTGAAGTTGAAAAAACAATACTCAAGAAGTTCACAAAGAAACCAAAGACATCTCAAAAGAAGCCAGAAGTATTTTATCTTTAAAACAAGAAAGAAATCCGGAGCTTTGTACTAGTTAAAATATACCATGCCTATACGAATTAAATAACACAACTGCATGATGGGACAAGGTCCGTGATGAGGCATGTGAATGCGTGGGATAGGTTAAGGAATGGTCTGTGACGAAACAGGCGAATGAGTGGTATGTGATGTATATGCGTGCGAAGAAGTCGTCTGTGATGGGACATGTGAAGGAATGGTCTGTGAGGAAACAGGTGAATGAGTGGTCTGTGATATGTGGACATGTGAAGAAGTGGTCTGTGATGGGACAGGTGAAGGAATGGTCTGTGTGGAAACAGGTGAATGAGTGGTCTGTGATATGTGGGCATGTGAAGAAGTTGTCTGTGATGAGACATGTGAAGGAATGGTCTGTGTGGAAACAGGTGAATGAGTGGTCTGTGATGTGTGGGCATTAGAATAAGTTGTCTGTGATGAGACATGTGAAGGAATGATCCGTGAGGAAACAGGTGAATGAGTGGTCTGTGATGTGTGGGCATGTGAAGAAGTGGTCTGTGATGAACGAGTGGTCTGTGATATGTGGGCATTAGAATAAGTTGTCTGTGATGAGACATGTGAAGGAATGATCCGTGAGGAAACAGGTGAATGAGTGGTCTGTGATGTGTGGGCATATGAAGAAGTGGTCTGTGATGAACCAGGTGAATGAGTGGTCTGTGATATGTGGGCATTAGAATAAGTTGTCTGTGATGAGACATGTGAAGGAATGATCCGTGAGGAATCAGGTGAATGAGTGGTCTGTGATGTGTGGGCATGTGAAGAAGTGGTCTGTGATGAGACAGATGAAGAAGTGGTCTGTGACGAAACAGGTGAATGAGTGGTCTGTGATGTATGGCCATGTGAAGAAGTGGTCTGTGATGAACCAGGTGAATGAGTGGTCTGTGATATGTGGCCATGTGAAGAAGTGGTCTGTGATGAACCAGGTGAATGAGTGGTCTGTGATATGTGGCCATGTGAAGAAGTGGAGTGATGGGATAGATGAAGGAGTGGTATGTGATTGGACTTGTGAAAGTCTGGTCTGTGATGGGGCCTGTGAGTAAGTGGTCTGTGAATTATTCGATAAGTCATGTGAAGAAGTGGTCCGTGATGGGGCATGTGAGCGAGTAGTATGTGATAAAACCTGTGGAGGTAATGGTTTGTGCTAGACATGTGAAGCTTTGCTGGGCCATGTGGTGAAATGCAGTCCATGACACTCAGATAGCCAGATTGACAACTTAAACTCTCACTGTGAATTAAGACTAATATATTGGTCAAAGATTTATATATTAAATTAGTAATGAAAAAATACATTTTTACTATTACACTATACTTATCAATTGCAATGGGCTTGGCCAATTTTGAAATGTTTTGAATGTTTAGTGTGTGGTTACATTAACTTCAGTTTCAACCTCCATTATTAGAAATCATCCCAAAGAAAACGTAAACAATTTAAATACATTTTTGTGCAATCACTGCAGGAAATAACATGTAAATTTTACACTTCAAACTACGCAAAAACCAACATTGTATATCGTAGATATAGTACATGTATATTTTTTGTTTATTTATATTCATTTGGCATCATTTTCATAAAATAAAATATATTTTAACGAAGTGTCATGATTGAAATTATTGTCACAACTATAACATAAGCACATGACAGAGCATTTATATCAGATATACCATATAATATAATTTTTCAGTGATTTTCGCAAGTACACAAAATCAAGATGCATTCCTTCCCAAAGAAAAGTCAAACCCAGAAGTTAGTAGTTAGATTGTTACAGGACTTGACATGTACTGTAATGAAGATGCAGAGTATTCAAGGAAATGTATTTATCTACATTTAGGACAGCAAGTCACCGTGATTATTGTACAAGCCAACATTTCACAGAGGCTGTTAAGACATAGAGCTAGCAATATACGGTGACTTTTGAACCACAGATTGAATTTTGCAGGACAATGCCTCTGGTATCAGAGACCATTTTACAGAGGCCTGCATAATAGCGAGACTGTGATTTTGTACAAGTAAACACTCCGCAGATTCTAAAGTCTTTAATCTACGGTAGCAGTGAACATTTCATTTGGAATCTTCAGGACAGCGATTGAATCACTGACTTTTGGGCTCTGTAGGACAGAGTCACAGGGAACAATTCACATAGGTAAGACAGCTAGTCGCATCAACTTTTGTAGCAATCAATAATTCAGAGGAATGCAGGTCGGAAAGTGATCGTGATTTTTGTACCAGTGAACATTTCAGAAGTCTGTAGGACAGCGAGTCACAGTGAACATTTCAGAGGCCTGTCGTGCAGAGTCACAGTGAACATTTCAGAGGTCTGTTGGACAGCGAGTCACAGTAAACATTTCACAGAGGTCTGTAGGACAGCAAATCACAGTGAACATTTCTCAGAGGTCTGTAGGACAGCCAATCACAGTGAACATTTCAGAGGTCTGTAGGACAGAGAGTCACAGTGAACATTTCACAGAGGTCTGTCGGACAGCCAATCACAGTGAATATTTCTCAGAGGTCTGTAGGACAGCGAGTTACAGTGAACATTTCAGAGGTCTGTCGGACAGCCAATCACAGTGAACATTTCAGAGGTCTGTAGGACAGAGTCACAGTGAACATTTCACAGAGGTCTGTCGGACAGCCAATCACAGTGAACATTTCAGAGGTCTGTAGGACAGAGAGTGACAGTGAACATTTCACAGAGGTCTGTCGGACAGCCAATCACAGTGAACATTTCTCAGAAGTCTGTAGGACAGCGAGTTACAGTGAACATTTCACAGAGGTCTGTTGGACAGCTTGTCACAGTGGACATTTTAGAGGTCTACCAATCAGCGAGTCACAGTGTACATTTCAGAAGCATGTAGGACAGCGAATCAAATTCAACATTTCAGAGGCCTGTAGAACAGTAAGTCACAGTGAACATTTCACAGAGGTCTGTCAGCCAGCGAGTCACAATGAACATTTCAGAGGTCTGTCAGTCAGCGAGTCAAAGAGAACATTTCACAGAGGTCTGTAGGACAGAGAGTCAAAGTGAACATTTCAGAGGTCTGTAGGACAGCGAGTCACAGTGAACATTTCACAGAGGTGTGTAGGACAGCGAATCAAAGAGAACATTTCACAGAGGTCTGTAGGACAAAGAGTCAAAGTGAACATTTCAGAGGTCTGTAGGCCAGCGAGTCACAATGAACATTTCAGGTCAGGTTTGTAGAACAGCGAGTCACAGTGAACATTTCTGAGGTCTGTAAGACAGCGAGTAACAGTGAATTTCACAGAAGTCTGTCGGACAGCCAATCACAGTGAACATTTCTCAGAGGTCTGTAGGACAGCGAGTCACAGTGAACATTCCTGAGGTCTGTAGGACAGCGAGTCACAGTGAATTTCACAGAGATCTGTCGGACAGCCAATCACAGTGAACATTTCTCAGAGGTCTGTAGGACAGAGTCAATGTGAACATTTCAGAGGCCTGTTGGACAGCGAGTTACAGTGAACATTTCTGATGTCTGTAGGACAGTGAGTCACAGTGGACATTTCACAGAGGTCTGTCGGACAGCCAATCACAGTGAACATTTCTCAGGTCTGTCGGACAGAGAGTCAATGTGAACATTTCAGAGGCCTGATGGACAGCGAGGCACAGTGAACATTTCAGAGGTCTGTAGGACAGCGAGTTACAGTAAACATTTCACAGAGGTCTGTTGGACAGCTTGTCACAGTGGACATTTTAGAGGTCTACCAATCAGCGAGTCACAGTGTAATTATCACAGAGGCAAATCAAATTCAACATTTCAGAGGCCTGTAGAACAGTAAGTCACAGTGAACATTTCACTGTTGGACAGAGAGTCAATGTGAACAGTTCACAGAGGCCTGTAGATGTTTGGATTGGGTAGCCAGGCACAATCTTCTATGTAGATAAGCAATAATTGACTCACAACCTGCTCTAGTCATTTTGATTTATTATAGCCAATCTCTATTAACAGATTGAACAAAAATTAATTTGCTTTGTGAGTTACTGTGGATGACAATTTGGATCAACTATGAATACCAACACATTTCTCAAATGTGAATATTCTGCACGATGAAGCGTGTCATATACTTCACCATAAACACCATTACATCATCTACAATAATCTTCCTTGAGTGCAACCATAATAGTTTGAAAGTATGATAACTTAGTGGTTTTACATAATAAAACTTTATTTTCTGTAGTCTAAAATACTAGCAATTTGATGACTTGTGCTTATATTCAGTAACTGATTATTTTTTTTAAATGTATAGATCCCAACCCGTAAGCAGTCTGTCACAAATTACAATAAATGTTCAATAGAATACAAATTTCAAGCTCTACAACTTTTCTCTCTACAACTTTGTCAATGACGTACAAAATCTACAGAACATGACATCAACGCAACATTATTTTGTATAAATATCCAATATCAAGCGTAAATTATGATATATTATATAATATGATAATAATATAAATAAACAGAATTAAAAAATCAAAAGATACTATATATATAACTGTATATAAAGTGTAAATCAGGTTTTCATGACATATTTTTGGGGGATTTTCGCAAATAGTGAAATTAAATAATTAGTGCATTTACAGAATTGATGAATAATCTGTATGCTTTAGTGACACTGATTCATTTTCTGAATGTCTGGCAGTATTTGTGCTGAAAAAAATCATAAATTAATGACATTTCATCTGTTTAGCTAAAACAAAAACAATTTCAGTAAAAGCAACAAAACGAAAACACAAAATATTGACAGCAGGACATGTTTTTCAATATAAACTGTAAATGTATTGAGAGGAATTAAAAATGAACCTCGAACACAATATGCCGCCAAAATCTTGTTGTTTTTCCGATCAAACAGAGTTCTATTCTCGTCATTGCATCCACTGTTTCAAATATACTAGCAATCGCTACATAGATCAGTGGAAAAGTGAACACGATGATGTGAGAGAAGGAAACCCTATTTGAATGACAAAAACAGTTTTGTGGCTCGACAGCCGTTTACGTCTCATTCCTCACACAGTGGTTTGAAAACACATCAATCTGATATATACAATTCTTAGTACATGTAAACCAAAAGCATGCCATACCACGCAAGTAAATGTAAGTTATAATCTAGAGTCATTAGTAATCCTGTTTGCCATTTATACTGTTAGTCTTGTCTTTGGTATGAACAATTTAATTCCTTTGGATCCACTGCTGTGTGAAGCGGTATTGGTTTTGACAGAAGCTTGAGTTGTCAATTTCAGTGAAGTCTTTAATTCCACTGGAATCACACCATCATCCAAAGATTTACACCATTTCTTGTACTGTGGAATATAAAAACAAGCATTAAAGATGTCTGCAAATTTATTCTCATATATACAAAATTTTGTGATCTGACATATCAATTTGATGCTGATGAAGTCATTAAGATTAGATTGAAACGATTAATAGGAGATGGATTTGTAAAAAATTATGATTTAGTGCTTTTACACGAGAATTGGACATTGGGCAGTCATATTGAATCAAATTACAAAAATAATGTTCATGTTGATGTATCTATTGGTATACCATCTTTGTACACAATTTAAAGAGAAGTGTTCATTGCATTCAAGAGAAAGTACTGTAAAAACTCCAAAATTTCGTCCCCTCTAAAAAATCGTTTCGCCTGATTATTTGCCGGGTTTCGGTATTTTATTTACCTCCAAATTTTCGACTCAATTAAAAATTTCCGACTCATTCTTATTCGAAAATTGCGACCAGTTTTGGCTTTTCCCAAAACGAAAAAAAACCCGAAGTGAGCGTTCAAACGGGACTTTCCCAGAAGGCATGAATCTGGGTTTCTGATTGACTGAGAGATTTTTTTTATTGGTAACGAAAATATATTCTAAAGAAACGAAGTTTCAAATAAAAACGAACACAAAAATCTCGGCATGCTGCGTTTCTGAATTGTTGATTATTACTCAGTAGTGATTATAATAATGTACACAAAATAAATTTGTTGAATTGTTATGAAATACAACTAAAAGTCAACTTAGTTTCATCGTAAGCAAATGATTCTGGTCTCGTATAAATGTTTGATGCTGTAGGATATCCGCCATGTTTTCTTAGGTCAAATAGGTCAAATCACTAGATGATGCTGGATGATGCCAACGTGTTCAAATTATCATAGCTTATTTAAATATGTTAATGTTATTGAACGCAATGCGGAAGAGATTGATGTTGTAGTACGATCTTTTGGCTTGGATTTTGATGCGAAAACAGCATGATTTTTTTTAAATAAAAAAATTATTTGTTTTTAAAAAATAAACTGGGCATCTGAAGAATAATTTAACATTGTTCACAGTGATAACAGCTCATTCTCGAAACAAAGCTTACCTGCTCACGCTAGTCACAATAAAAATCATACACGTGTACTCTTGAATAGACGACAATGACTACGGTAAAACTTAGACTCTATTTTAGCCGGCAGGATTGATTGAAATGTCCGAAAAATGATGCCAAAATACACCTTAAAAGTCCCATTTTATTTTCTTAAATCCCATTTTATTTTTTAACCCAAGGGCGTGAT